CCTTTGCTGCAATTATCCCTAAAAACAATTCTAATATCGAGAGGGTGAATCGCGAAAGATTTTGGTGAAACCAAACCTTAATAACTAGTTTATAGTTTACTTGGGTGGAGTATAGAGATTTGATTCTGGAATATTTTTGGTGGTGGAGGTGGTGGAGGATTTGGGGTACAGGTGGTCGTTGTTGTGGATTTGTGGTGGCTACGATTTGGGTGGTGCTGAAATGTTAGAGTGGAATGAAGTGAGGTGAGTGGGATGAATAGTGTTGTGACCAGTTAATTGAATAATTTGCAACATATTTAATATGTGATTGGCGATTAAATTTGTAATTTGTGACCAACAAATTTTGTCTTATGTAACTGTGACTTTATGTGATTTTGTGATTGGTATGTCACTGTGATCATAAATTGTGTATATAATCGTGACATGTTAATTAAATTATAGGTTACAACATTTTATCAAATGTCACAAAATATGACCACCTGAGTTTTGAAATTTTTCATGAGTTTGTTATTTTTGAAATTATATAGGAAACATTTGTACTTATAATTTTTTTTCATTAATTTACTATGTTGTTGTCACATAATATGATGATGGTGATCAATGATAAGAAATAACATTATTAAAAAAAAATCAAGTGGGTGTGAAATGGTTTTATTAAGGCGTGTGAGAATCTGCTTGGGTTGCGGCATGCCAACTGACCTCAAAAAATCATGACAACTGCGTTTTTGGGAGACAGGAGGCGAGGCTTACTCTTCAAAATTAAGGCTCATTTGGTTCTTAATATATTGTGTTAGTTTAATTAATAATTATTACTAAACATTGATATACACACAATTGAACTTTATAAAATATTTGAGTTATATTAATTTGAAGTCTATTTTTTAACAGAAAATTGTAGATGAACTAATGGTTAAACGACGTGAACACACATGATTTTCTATTAGAAATGAATGGAGTGGTCTTACTAAATTATATTATGAACTGAGGTTATGAGTCTGAAATAAATTAAGGCTTTACACTAATTCAAAAGTTATATGACCATTGGTGAAATTAAGTCTCTCCCATCCCCCTAATTGAACTTTAATTTTATACAATGAAAGTTCAATCAAACCATTATTCTAATGCGATGTTTATTTTTTAATTGGAAAATCTTATTTGGACTAACGGTTTGACAACTTGGCACATAGGCTCACATGATTTTCTTTTAAAAAAAACCCAAATTATTTGACCAATATTATTCAAATATTTTGTAAAGTTCAGTTGACAAAATGACACCAAATCAAACGAATAATGATAATAATGAGTAACAGTGATGCTAAAATATTAGTTTAGATTACCACACTTAATATGTTCAATTAAATGAAACTATCATTTAATGTTATCTAAAATAGTGTTGAATATCATTCCTCAATCAAACCATAGTGGCCATTAATGAAATCGAACCCGAAAATCATATATAAAACACTTGTTGATAGAGAAGGAAAAAATAGCGTATATGGGTTAATGAAATCCAAGATGATTGCGTGTCCAAGGTAGGCCTACTTTGGCACCGGTGTCCCCGCTTTGTGTTGAACCTTTTCATAAAGATGCAATTGTGTCTGGTGTGTGTTTTAGAAAAGTAAAAAGGGTTACTGAACTTCAAACGAAATCCCAATTTTATCATTTAACTTAATTTTGTTCATTAATCTTATTTAGATTCAGATGTCACCAAACGACATTTCTTCACTTAAATTAACTTGCTTAGTTGACAATTGG